GGTGAGCTTCTCCTCTTCCCTTCCCATTACCTACAACACAGACCCTGACAATGCATTTCCTACCCTCTCAAGAAATAACATCTGATACCTACGTAAGTGTGGAATCAGGGGTATTTATCTTTCTTGCCTGGCTTAATATAATATCTTCCAGGTCTACCCACGTTTCTGTGGACGACTAGATTGGCACAATAATATAATATTGCTCATGCACACTGTTCATGAGTGATCGACAGGTTGACTCCGTATCTTGACTATGACCAATGTTCTTTCTCCAAAGGGAAAAAAAATACTATGGTCTTGGATGCTTTTCTTGCCTTTATTTTATTTATTTCATCATCACACAGTATTTACTTGAACCTAAATATCACATTGTGCCCAAACATATGTGAAATTACTTTGTCAAAAAAAAAGAGTAACTTCCTTTTCAAGCATGAATGTAAAGTATCAAACTACAAATTCAAAAATGCTACAAACCTTGGGTAAAACGATCAACTTCCAGCATTATCAACCTCTATGGCGTGGTAATGGCTGTCTGATGTTTCCGCTCAAAACATCTGCTCTAACGGGACAACAAGAGTGGGGTTGTGAGTCTCACTTCTCTCCCATCCCCTCCAGGGCTGTGCTGCATGCTACCAGTTCTGCATACTGAGGATATGAGTCATTGCCATGAATATTCTAGTGGTGTCTAGCCTGCCTCTGTGCCTTCTCAACTACCTGCTATTACTTATTCTCACTTGGTGATGATTGCTTGGGCTTCCACAAGGAAGCTGGCGGCAAAGCCTGCAAAGAAGGAGGAATCAGTGTGGAGTCACACCGAGTGTGGCTGTAGTCCTGCATCATCTGGGGGAAGTACAGGTACAGAGATCTCAGAAGACCATGGCGTTGAGTAGTTTCCAGGATTAGTGGAGAGAGAAGGAAGGGGCAGGAGATACTAGGTACTTACTAAAGATATGATCCTCAGTGATATATACTTGCTACAAAGTTCAGGACGCAATGAAAGAGCCCTCCTGGCAGCTGCACACTTCCAAGGTTCTCTGTACATTCTGTCCAAACTCTCAGGAAAGAAAAATTAAATCTGTCAATTTTTAGAAAGGAAAAGCAATCCTAACCCTGGGACACGCTGAACCCTCATCTGAGTGTGGAGCGGAAGGGGTATTTCTATAGTACACACAGCTGCATTTCACTCCATGGCCGGGAGGATGTCCTGGGGTGACCCCCAAGCTGATCATACTTAGCATCCTCCCCATGAGATCTGAAGGCGCTCCATTTAACTCCACACAAATAAGAACAATGGCTAATCCTTCAGGACAGCACCCAGGAGATTAAACTTTCTGGAAAGGCTACTTAAAGAGGAAATTCTCGAAAGGGAGCTCACAGGTGCCTCTGGCAACAACTCTCTTGGTCCTGACCAATCTGTGTCCACCAGGAGCAGCACACATAGCGCACAATGCAGTGGGTAACACAGAGGATGCTCTGACAACTCTGATAAAGTCCCATCCTCCTGGTCCCAAAGGGACGGAGCGCAAAGAGCTGCAGGACATCAGTGCCAGTGTGCCCAGCGGACTAAGCTCCACCCTGTTTACCGGCCGAGCTGGAAGTTATGCAATTAATATCCAAGTCCTGACAAAACCGGTCCTGTGACAATGGAGGCAGTAACAGTCAATGTCTTTTTTGATCTGTTGATTGCAAAGCAGCTACTTGCTGAAAATTCTAACACCGTATCGCACTTGAACATCATGGCTAACGATAAATGAGAACCAGATCCTGAAACCCTGAATACACTCCAAATGATGCTTTCCCCCATAACACAGACTTTAACTGAGTTGCCTTCCTCTCTGTCATCCACTTTTGATTGCTAGAACTCTCGGGTGGAAGGAGAGAACGGACCCCACATGCTGTGTCCTCATTTCTACATATGCACCTCAGCATGTGTGTTTATGTACGTATACACACACACACACACACACACACACACACACGCACGCACGCACGCACGCACGCATGCGCGTGCATGCACGCAAAGGTCCTGCTCTGAGGGAAGTGAGGACACACACGAAACTGGTGCTAGGGTGAAGTCAGACCCACCCTGCAGCTGGGCAACAGGAGCATGGCTGAATCTTGGGAGACCTCGATGACCTTATGAGACAATTTCACAGAGGCTCCTCAGAAGTCCTTTGGCTCCTGGAGCCAGAATGGCAAAAGGCACAATTCACAGAGCTGTGGATTTATGACATAGTCCCAGAAGATAGGATACTTATAGTGGTACGTGGACCTTGGGTTACACAAGAAGTACTGCATAGGAAACTGAGCGTAAGTGATGAGGGTTGAGTCGGCAGTGAACAGTGGATGCCAGAAAGGAAGGAAACTCAACTGAAAACTGTTACGGTGGAGAAGCATCATTTGGAAGTGCATTTAGGCTTTCAGGATTTAAGTTTTTATTTAGCATTAGCCACAGTGTTAAAATTTGATAAGGTTGTAGGATTTCCCCCCAATAACCACTTAGCAATCAACAAACTAAGAAAGACATTGACCGTTACTGCCTCCTTCCTCACAGGACTCTGAGTGACTTTGTAGCTACCGAGACTTCTAATTTCAGAACTTCCAGCTGGGAAGTGAAACAAAGATGGCATTCAGTCCATTTGGTACCCGGGCACTGATGTATTACAGTTGTTTGCGCTTAGTCTCTCTGGGACCAGGAGGATACCAGATAGGAGTATCCATTTCCGATAATAAGGGACAGCCAATATGAAATCTAAGAATAGGGGCATAGGCATCTTCTTCTGAGGGCTTAATTACATCTATTTATTTATGTGTCCACGTGTGTGCATGCATGTGTATGCAAGCATGCATGCTATCTATAGTGCACTTACAGAAATGAGGAGACAAGTTGTGGGGTCAGTTCTCTCCTTCTGCCGGTGAGTTTCAGGAATTGAACTCAGGTCTTTGGAATCAGCAGCAGTCGCCTTTCCCTGCTGAGCTATCTTGCCAACCCTGATTAAAGTGGAAGGACCAGAACTCAAGATTTAAATCCTAACATAGGGAGCAGAGGTGTGTTTCAGCTGACGAAGCACTTGCTTAGCTTGCCGAAGCCCTGGGTTGGATCGATAGCACCACATTAACCAGGAATGGCGGTGCCGTCTATAATCCCAGCACTCAGATCAGAAGTTCATGGTAAACTTGGTTACACAGCAAACCTGAGCCCAGCCTGGGACATATGATACCCTCTCTCAATAAAATAAAATAAAATAAAAAATCCTAAAAGGATGAAGCGAGAATTACCAAGAGATCTCATAAGGTCTAGCCCACATACCAAAAAGGCTGCTACAGTTTTTTCAAATCTAGGACACAACTCAAATCTCTCCCATCTCTCTTCATACCCTGGTCCCTTGGGTCCAGGGACGCTTTGTGGTCAACATTCACTCATTTCCTTTTGAGTCACACGGGGGACCTTGTAAAGCTGTCCCTGTCCACAAATGATCACACTGACGTCATTGGGAAACATTGTTCCGACAATCCTACTTGCTAACCCGTCTCAAACGGACCTTCATTCAAGACCTTGTCATCTGTGGCTGATGTCACATGGCATCCTGCTCTGGCAGATCTGATCTCCACACAAAAATGCCCCACCAGAATGGAATTCTGAGCACCAAGTGCATCTCCATGCTACAGGGGCTAGGCAAAGCTCTGAGAACACCAATGCGCCATCCTCACTAAAGGGCTGTGTGATTGTGTCTACGGAGGAACTTTCAGTGTTAGGGATTAATTGCAGTGGGGCACCAAGGCACTGAGAAGGTGTGTGGAGAAAAGACAACCAAACCAAAGACAGGGTAAGAAATAAATGCATTAAAAAAAAACCCAGCACTTCCTGAGCACAGTCCGCTGAGTTAATTACTTACCAGGTAAGTAATAATTACATTATTAGTTGGTTTTAGTACACTCCCTATTTTCAGCCAATGGGTTGTGTGAAGTAAGTTTCTTTTATTCATTCTACCTCTTTGTTCATACAATGGATGACATTGATATTCAGTTTTTGTTCGGAGGTTTGGTGTTTTCTGCTGCAGATGGCACATGTTACCCCACACATGCTACTGTTCAACCATTAGCCACACCTTTGAGATGTTTCAATTTCTGAAAAGACAATCACCCATAACAAAATTTTACCATGCCATGGAAGCTTTATGTCAGCAAAGAACACTTGTAATATCAAGAAATTAAAAAGAGACGTTCCTGCCGTTGATCTGAAGGAGCTAATTCCAAGCACAACACACTACGAGGAGAAAGCAGGAGCTGGTGTGTCAGCAATGCCCTGTCCTTTCTCTCAGACATCCCCAGATTCGGAGGCAGTGGGCATAGAGAAGTCCCACATGGGACATTATAGGCAACATCAAATTACCCGCTCTGGGTATGCAACAATGCATCTGGGCAGGAGACACGCAACACCTGGCAGACATGTCAGAAGGGTGTGTGTAATATTCTAGCACAGCAACACTGGCTAAGCAGCTAAGCACTTGGCATGGGGACTAACATCTTCCCCAGGAGAGTCCCATGCCAGTGCTTGCAAGCCTTTGGAAATCCACATGATCTGGAAAATAATGTATTTGCTCTTAGAGTCCCCCGAAGTAGATACATAAATGACAAAGAGGGGTTTAATCCACAGATTCAAACCAAAAGGTGCCTTCCACTTTATGCATCCCTAATATAAGAGAGGTCAGGTAAAAGACAATGGCTACAGAGCCCCAAACAATCCCACTTGAAAAACATGTACTGTCAACACGTGTGAGAGTGGGGCGAGTTCTTGCTCTCCAGAGCAGTGGCTCAGGACTGATGTCACAAGCAGTGTCTCCTGAACCTTAAAGACCATTTTCAATATCACATCGCTGAACACTTAGGAGTTATCATGGTCTTTGAACCCACATGACAAAACTCCAACACAAATCCACTGGAGACCGGATGCATGAAGGAATGCAGGAGCCGCTGAGCCAAACACAGGGGCTTCTTACCATGTTTATGGATGACACAGGACCTATGCTGTTCACATAAATGTCCACATCGATCACAGTTGGCTTTACTGTGGAGAAAAATACACATGTGTTAGTCATGTATGGTACAGTGAGAATAGGAGGACAAAGTCCAATGTCCAGAGGCTGGCCATGACCAAACAGCACAGGAGGGGGGATTTCTCCTGGGAACTTAATTTGCATTTATAACTCAACTCAGCTTATCTCACTTCCTAAACTCTTTCTAAAAGGAGGGAGATTCCCACTTGAATTTATTCAGCTGTGGGAAGAGAAGACAGTTACCCACTGCAAATTGCCAATAACAGATGACTACAGAGATATTTGATGTTACTTAAGCTGATTTTATGGCAAAGAAATGAGATAAAATATAAGACATTGCATATATAATCTAATGTCTAAGTAATTATAAAGCTGAATCACAGATGAGCAACATCAGAGGTATATAAAAAACTATAATTTCAAAGCAAAATTCTAGCAAGATCAAACACCAAAAAAAAATGAAAACATGGTTTAAAATTATCACCGCTATTATTTAAGGAGACATACACATGTATAGCATAGAGTTAAAATGCGACTGTCAAAATGTTGGGAAGATACCACCGTTTCAAGTGTGAGTGTGCACTGCTCCTGTGAGCAGTACACACTGCAGGCTACATGACTAACGCAGGTTCCTCTCTCTTGCCTGCAGAGGACTCGAGCACCACCAGTGAGGAGACAGGGATTCTACAGAGTCCAAGCTCGGGAGCCAATGCCCTGTTCAGGGGGAAGTCCTTCACTACTCAGGAATAGTCAAAGGAGAGAACAGGACAAGTTTCAGAATATTCCTGCCCAAGAGGAACATAAACCAGAATCACGAACATGCCCACATGAAGTTTCCATGGAAACAAGACTGTTTGCTCCTGCAATTATTTCAATGGGCCTCCTTCAGTTTTGCTGAATAGCTGCTCATTCACAAATGGACCCTACACTTTGCTTCTGGAACTGAGGTATCTTTGGGCTTCCAGGCCCACACATTCAGGGATCAAAATCCAGGACAGTGGTTCTCAGACTTGAGATGAAACAACAGTCATGGATTTAATCAACTCCCAACACCTGTCAGCACCTCCAAGCTGTGTTAATTCCAAAGAGCTCCTGGCATTTCGGGCGAAAGCCCCAACACAATTCTACATGGTATACACATGGCATATAAATTTCGGGTAAGCTGAAACTAAACCAGAAACTAGGCTTTCCTGATCATTAAAATGACAGACAGCACCTTCCTTTGGCTTCACTGGATTCTTCGCTGTTCTGTTTCCATACACAACAACCTTAGATCATGCTGTGCAGAAGGTTGTGTGACGTGACGTCAGTCAAGTCTTTCCGCACAAGCCTTTTCTCATTGTTTGGAGTACTTATTAGACTCTGGGTTTCTGAATTCATTAATCTCATTAAATTACAAGGGCTTGAAGACATCAAGTCTGAATGACCTCAAGTGGGTGTGTGGAATGTATTGAATATGGCAATGTAACAGAGATTTTTAAGAGAGAAGCAGAAGGAATACACACACATGCACACACATACACTCATAAATGTTGGGGGAAGCTCCGGTTTTAGCTTTTAGCAGAGGCATGATAATGTCAGTGGTGCATTTTAGAATGCCATCCAACAGCTGTGCCCAAGAAGCACACAAGCCACGCTTGTTAATTCAGACACTAAAGAAACAGTTCTGACGAAGACTTTCACCAAAGTCATCAAGCATCCAATGAGAGAAAACAGCAGCCCTTTGACAATGCTTGAAAAACTAATATTCAAGAGCAAAAGAATAAATTTGGACCCTTACATCTCAGTTCATAACCAAAGATAGACTCAAAATAGGTTCTAAATGAACCATAGCTCAAACTATGAAAACTCTTAGAAGTAAAGATGGGGAAGCATTGTGATATTTAATTTTGGCCTGGTCTCTTGTACTGAGTATCAAAATCTCAGACATCAAAAAGAGAAATAGATCAATTTTACTACAGCAAATTTAAACATGGACACAGGAGGCGTGGCAGAGTGGAACAGTCACCCTAGAATGGAAATGTGCACAGTTAATAATAAGGAAATTTACTCAGGTACTATGGATGATGGCATGGTGGTTCCTCAAAACAGTAAACAGAATTACCACTAGGTCCAGCCATCAAACATCGGGGTATTTTACCAACAGGAATAGCAAGAGGGACTCAATAGATATTTGAATGTCCATATTTAAACTGAGGCCATTCACAAAACCCAAAATAACAGAAACCAGTCAGGTGTCCACCGAAGATGAAGAAGAATCCAAGTGGGGATATGATGGAATTTAATTTAATCTTTAACAGGAATGAAATTTTAATATATGGTACCCTCTTGACTGAGTGATGAAGGCAGTATGCTGAATAAATGATTCCATCACAAATCAAACACTACATGAATCCATTTATATGAAATATCCCACCCCGTCAAATTCATGGAGACGTCAATTACAATGATGGTTGCCAAGGGCTATAGAGAGAGGAGGGATGAATTAAGCTTCAATGGAAAGACAAGGAAGAAATGAATAGTTGAGACAGAATGCAATGCTACCAATTTATAGTTCAATGAATGTAGATAAGATGGAAAGTTTTAGGATGTGCATCATACATTACATATAAATAAAGACACACGCACATCTAAAGCACAGTATGACCTAGAAATACCTAGGCAACAGAAAGAAGTATGACATCTTTCACAGAGGAAATACATCCAAAAATAGCAACAAGAGGGACCAGTATTCTAGATGAGAGGGGACAAATTCTACTGAAAGATTATTTAAAAAGGGGGGCATTACAACTGGGTCCCATTTGTTGGCTGAAAAATATATCCACTTGCAATTCTTTGTTTGAGATCTATCTTGCCCTTCTGGGTGTTATTTCTTAAAAATTTAGAGTAACTACATCTGAGAAGATTGTGCAGTGAACAAGAGCTTGATTAAGGAACAATGGGTAAGCCTTGAGAAACCTCAGCCACAGATCTCCCTACAGAGGTTGCTGGAACCCTCGGGGACAGTGTGGTCTACAGTGTCCCCTCACGACTGACACAAAACCACTGTGTATGCATGACTAAATTTCACTACACCATGGCATTTCTCACCCTAAATCAAGCAACCGAGGAGAGAATGGTGGCTTACTATTTGAACTGTCAGGACAGAGACAAATCCTGGTGCCCATGAGAGGGGCAGCTGTCACAACTTGCTGGAGGCAATGTAGGCTTGGAATAGGTAGTCTGATGATAGACCTAACAGGTAGGTGGCCGACTCTTAGCCTCCAAAGTCTGGAGATGCAGTTCTCTGTCCTGGTTATTGCCATCACTACAGGGATCCTGTCGTGGTAAAAACTGCAAAGAAAAATCTTGAAGACAGTTCAGGGCCTCAAGTGTCTCTGAGACTTGATATTAAAAGTTATATTTCCTGAAGTTCAAGCTTTTTATTACACAACCTTCAGAATCTTTGGTGACACAAATATATTTTTATTTCCCACAAGTTATATGTCATGGGCTCTCTTCAGATAGCACGTGTGTACTTCCTTGGAAATGTCCAAAATGCTAGCCTTAATGAGAGACAGAGACAGACACAACACACACACAAAGAGAGGGGGAGGTGGAGGGAGGGAGGAAGGGATGAAGGGGAGGGAGAAAGAGGGAGGGAGGAAGGGAGAGAGAGAGAGAGAGAGAGAGAGAGAGAGAGAGAGAGAGAGAGAGAACACGCCTCTTTAATCCACATCCAGCTACCTACTTCTCAAGGTTAGGAGCATAGCAATTCCTTAAGGTCTCTTGGTTCCAGGAGCCTCACAAATATAAAATCCTTGCCTGCTCAAGTCTCTTACGTACAATTGGGTGATATGATGTGGGAGTCCCCTCTGTGTGCTGTGATTACCATCAACGAATAAAGAAACTGCCTTGGCCTGTTGGTAGGGCAGAACTGAGGTGGGTGGAGAGTACGGGACTGAATGCAGGGAGAAAGTAGGGTGGAGTCAGAGGGAGGCCATGGATCTGCCACTGAAGATAGATGTGCTGAAACTTGGCTGGTAGGCCACGACCTTGTAGTTCTATACAGATTAATAGAAATGGGTTAAATTAAGATGTAAGAGTTAGCCAATAAGAAGCTAGAGCTAATGGGCCAAAGCAGTGTTTTAATTAATAAGGTTTCTGTGTGATTATTTCACTTCTGGGTGGCCAGGACAAACAATCGATTCCTTGCAACAAATTGGCACCCACATGTCCAGCTAAATCCACTTAAAACCTGAGAGAGTTTGAAAAGGAATTCTAGACACAAAAATACAGTTTAACACAGCATCTTGCTGTTTGCTGGCAGTGTGCTGCAGCGACTGTAAGAGAGATTTTCCTGATTCAGCCTTAGTAGAAAAAAATACCGCACGGTTTTAAAACATGGCTTCCTGGGCTGTGCTGCCAGCCGAACTCTGGCTATGGAGCATTTGAATGGCATTTGCTGGCAGAGTGTTTCTGTGCCCACTCAGGGTTGGGAGGAAAGTGGTTGAGACTATGTCTGTGGCTTGGCGCTCCCTGTCTGGGCAGACTGTGGGATCAGGTCTACTAGGCTTGCACAGGTGGGAGAGCATGGCGGATTCCTGCCGCCATACAGAGATGTTTCCAAGCTACGCAGTCCAGATTTGGCTGCTACTCAGATAAAAGGAGTTTAGCGCTGCACGCTCATTCTCAGGGTTGGACTGCTGAGTGACCCTCCTGCCTGGTGGCCCCAGAGCTGGCAGTGGTGGTGCTTCCACCATTTAAAAAGTGGACAGAGAGGCAGAGCCAGCATCCAGAGCAGCTGCAACAAAGTTGCTTACAATTTTGAAAGCTCTTCAAGATAGTAGAGAATTAGTTAATGCAATAAGAACAACTTCATACATAAAAGAATTCTAAATGGGTCACAGTGTTGGGAGAATGTACAAAGGCTTGGAAGAGAGAAGAAAAGGAGTATAGAGTTGAAAAAGAAGTAAAAAAAAGTCTTTAAAGTGATAGAGTACAGACAGTCATTAATTAAAAGAAATAAAGA